ACAGCCTTATAAATGATAAGATCATCATCACCCTTATTATTACCTCCATTTAGCCACAAGACTAAAGGTTTGTTGGCTGGTTCTTCAGCTTCGGTGAAATAATAAAATAATGCTCGCCCGGCTTTAGAGTCAACTGTAACGTAACCTGAATATTGACTGAATTTTACGCTCAGTTGTTGTTGTCCAGGCAATGCTACAATCTTGTCGGCTTCTTTCATACCTTCCTGTGGTGCGACGTAAACTGGCGAATCATTTTTACGATAATTATAAGGTTGTTTTCTTAATTTCCTCGTCTTTAATAGATCTCGAAGAAGATTATTGTGCCCTCTTGCGCTGTGGCATTCAGTGTAGCAAGGAAGGCACAAAATAGAGAGAAAAAGAAATGTGAAAAAGTTCATGTTTTGTGTTCAAATTACAGAGATAGTTTTGGATCAATTGATGCTCTTTTTGTTGTTATTTTATAGAACTCAATTGACAATATAATATAGCGTGATCGAGGCGTGATTTTTTGTCTAGGTACCGAAAAAGATCATTGATTATATGTATTTGTGTTCTAATCGTGTGTGAAAATGGTGACTAGCCAGACATGAATGGGTAGCAAAAACAAGATTTTTTTTTTTAATTGTTCCTCGTTTTTTATTTTTTAAATTTTAATTACCAAACGCTGACTGAATATGGTTATATGGTGGACTAAAAAAAAGTTCTTAAACGAACGCGCCTTCCTGAAATTAATACAACTGTAGTAGGTGGACTGAAAAAAGTTAATTAATACAACTGTTATTATTGCGCCGATCGGTTGAAATTAGTCTGGGTTTAATGGGTTTAATGCATCAAATCCCTCTGTATTATATTAAATTTGTGTGTTTTTTTCTTGTATTTTAAAAATTGCGTCAGGTCCCTTTGTAATGTAATTTTATAATGTAGTTTTGCATGCGCGAAACATCCTAAACCGTCTAAGATGACGGAAGTGGCGTACCCTTTGTAATGTAGTTTTGTAATGTAGTTTTGTATGCGCGAAACACCCTAAACCGTCTAAGATGACGGAAGTGGCGTACACGCGCGTGCTGTGCGGCTTTTTCTTCATTTTTTTCACCCCAAAGTAGCATAAATTACTGTTTTACCCTTGAATTATGTGCAAAACCTAAATAGTATGAAATGTGGGCAACAAGATCCGAACATGAATTGGAAAGGATGGGAATGACCACTCAACCACTAGGCCATATGGATGAATGTAAAATCTATTGAACATAAATATATCTATACATCATACTGAAATGAATTAAATAGTTTAAAAATAAGTATATAAATAAAATAAAAGGATAATATGTCATTTTATTATAAATTAAATAATTAATAATGATAACACTAATAACTTCCAATAAATTAAATTAACTTAAAATAATGAAAAAAATTAAATTAAAATAAAGTAAGATAAAATTTAATGTATTAGAGTGAACTAAAATTAAATAAAGTTATAATTAAATAATAGAAAAATAAATACAAAAATGAAATAAATAAATAAATAAAATTAAAATAAACTAATTAAATAAAAATAAAAATAATAATTATCAGTGTTCTAAAAGTCGCTAGGCGCCCGCTAGGCGCTCGACCAGCGCCTAGCGCCTAGGGCGCCTAGTCGGGGCTTAGGCGGCGCCTAGTCGGGCCCAAAAATCAATATTAAATACCTTATTTTTTTTATTAGACAGAATTGTTTTATTAATATTATTTTAATACACTAGTATTCCACTTTAATAGTCTTTTATTACTACAAAGTCTTGTTGTGAGATCATTGTATCCTATTGGGGTTGCCTATAAAAGCAAGACAACAACAATACTATATTGTACCAGGTCAAGAAAAAAACATTGAATTCTAAAATTCCTCAATTTAATGGGAAACATGAAGAATTCATTGACCATTTTCTCCATTTTGTGCCTCATGGCCTACGTTACAGAATGTCTCAGTAGAAGAGGAAACAATAATCCTCTTCGTGAATTTCTGATGACGAGGAATTTAAGAAAGCAATCCAACCATCCTCTCCATGCAGAGGACTATTCAAATGATTCTACTTCGTCATCGGTATATGTAGAATCACAAAAGGGTATGAAAGAAGCAGACAAAATCTTAGCATTGCTTGGACAACCGAGCGTAAAATTTAGTCAATATTCAGGGTACGTTACCGTTGACCATAAAGCTGGACGAGCATTGTTCTATTATTTTGTCGAGGCCGCCGAGAACCCGACCAAAAAACCTCTAGTCTTGTGGCTAAATGGAGGTAAGATTTATGATGATTGTCCTAATTAATAAGGAAAGTTTACCACTTATCCTTTTATTGTTTAAATTAATTTAAAAAATGTGACATTCAAGTTTGAAACTATACATATTTGTTAATCCAAATCACTTATGCTTATGCCTAATTTCCACCTATTAGTTTGTACATCTAATGGAAATATAGTTGAGAGTTATTTTGGCTGTGTTTTTCTTCTAACCTAAGAGATATATATCTTGTTAATACAATCAAGCAAAACCAAGANCTTTATTATTCTTCTATATGAAGCCAACCTCAAGGATATCGTCATCATACAATCAAGCAAACCAAGATTTAATTACTCAATTGTTTTTTTCCTTAAGAGGAACTTCTAAATCTCGTGTATTGACATATATATTCGGAGGTGCAGGGCCCGGGTGCTCATCAATGGGGTATGGAGCAATGTCGGAGCTTGGACCATTTCGGGTACAACCGGATGGAAAAACATTATCGATGAACAAGGATTCATGGAATAACGGTAATTTGGTCAAGTATACATAAAACATAAAAATTTTAGGATTTAAATAACTTGTTCTTTGTGTACAGTGGCAAATGTCCTGTTTTTGGAATCCCCAGCCGGTGTTGGATTTTCGTACTCAAACAGATCATCGGATTATGTGACGGGTGATAGAAGGACAGCTGCAGATTCTTACACATTCTTAGTAAATTGGCTCCAGAGGTTTCCAGAATATATAAACCGAGCCTTCTATATAACGGGTGAAAGTTATGCGGGTCATTATGTGCCTCAGCTCGCCGATATAATCCTCAGAAAGAATAAAATTCCGAACCCCATTATTAACCTTAAAGGAATTGCGGTGAGTTTCATTTACTGTGCACTAAGGCCTTTGTTAAATTTGGTAAAGCACTTGGGCCTTTGTTAATATCTGTTTCATTTGTTTTTAGATCGGGAATGCATATATCGACTCTGTAGATACGAGCATGGGAAGATTGGAGTTCTACCACAGTCATGCAATTATATCTGATGAAACTTACCAAGGCTTAAAAGAAAATTGCGATTACACTTCAGATAAACCTGATTCAGAGCTTTGTACATTCTATAGTAAACAATGGCGTAAAGAGCATGGCAACATCGACCCTTATAACATTTATGCACCATTATGCGGCTCGTCCCAACAATTTTCATCCGTAATATTTCATCTTTTGAACAGCGGTTCAATATATTTTTTGCAATTCATCTAATTATTCTCAATGTGTTCATGTTCTCTTTGAAGCAGATATCGAATTTCGATCCATGCAACGATGATTACGTCTTCAAATATTTAAATAATCCCCAAGTGCAGAAGGCTCTTCACGCTAACACCACTCATATATCTAGGCCCTGGGATGGTTGCAAGTCTGAAACTAACGATTATTTATCCATTATGATTCTTTCTTTTTTTCTTTTTTTTCATAAAATTGCAACGATTTTCTTTACAGTTACGACATTAATGGTAATTGGACTGACAGCCCCGACTCAGTGTTACCACTCATCAAGAGCCTGATGACTAGCGGCATTAGAATTTGGGTCTACAGGTGACCACATAATGCAAGCTAGTATAATGCCACAAAATTACCTGCTAAGAATTCAATATAATCAGCTTAATTTCATTATGATCTATCAAAATTTGACCCTTTTTTTATATTATACCAATCTGACGCTCATTAAACATAATACACCAACTTAATTACCAAATTATTAAAGAAAAAAAGGGATTTTGATTATTTTTTCGGTATAGTAACTTGCCAAATTGATCTTTTAAAATGATTAGCGCCAAACCAGTGTATCGTTTTTAGAAATATGACAAATTAGTGCACGAAAGATGATATTCTTATTTTTTTTAACCCAATATGCGTATTGATTAANGGAGATATAGATTCGGTTATTTCAGTGACAACAACAGAATACTCGATGGTTAAACTTTGTTCACACATTAAAAAACAATGGTATCCATGGTTCGTCAATGAAAAAGAGGTAAGAAACATATACGAATCTACAACAAATTAATTACGCGCTAAAAACATTCGATTAAAAAAATGGTTGGGGCATTAATTGTGTTGCAGGTGGGAGGATATGCAGTTGGATGCCAAAATGTGACGTTTGTAACCGTAAGAGGGGCGGGACATCAAGTGCCGAGTTACCAGCCCGAACGCGCACTTGTTATGTTTACATCCTTCTTAAAGGGAAAATTGCCTCCACGCGAAAATGATTCCCAAATATAGACTGCATTTGATGGTTAAGACTTGTAACACTTATCTCAATAAATAAGCTATCTAGCAATAAATAAATGAATTATTAATATTATTATTATTATTATTATTATTTAATATTGAGATGGTGGATGACTTGACTTTTATGGATGATAAATTTGTCGTATGTGAATCTCACAGGAAATTTATCCGTTTGAAGCAATGTTTTCTAATTAATGTTTTTTCCACATATAGGATGTTTGTTAAAAAGTTCATATTTAGAGGACCGTCTTGCAAACATATTTCAGATATATGACCAAATCTCCAATTTTGCTTTTGTAAAAACAGATGAACTATAATGCAGGACATATATGGTCCAAAAGTTTGAAAATGAGGAAAAGAAATCAAAAGGCAAATGATGGAGAAAATTGAAAAATTGGATACATTTTTTTCTTTTCATTTTTGTTTGGTCAATAAAGATTTTTCTCATTTAAACTGAAAACAAATTCATTCAATCTAACTTTTTCTCTGCAAATCTCACTAATACAAATAGAAACAAAAAGTTGTCGTCATTATCTATTTTTCAAGAAAATATTTTTTCTATTCAATAATATATTTTTAACTATCAATCATATTAATTAATAATTTATTATATTTATATCACATCAAGTTTAATTATTCTATATTATTTCATATTCATTCATAGCATTACACTAATATCATTTTTTTCTAAAACCAATTTTTTTCACTTTTTCTTCTCATGTTTCCAGAGGAGACAAAATTTTCGAAAAGACCATGATGCAAATTATTCTATATTATTTCATATTCATTCATAGCATTACACTAATATTTCACTTTTTTTTTTCTAATCGCACTTATAATAGGATTGACCATGATGCAAATGTAATCTTAAAGTCTCTTTGAATGGTTCTTTTTTTTTTTTAATTGCAACTTTAGTCCAAAGGCCGTAAAAAATTGCGGAAAGAACGATGCCAACCTTACTGGTTCATTAAAAACAAATGAGATAATTGCAAACGCAGGATTAAAAAAAATAATTTTCTTAACTTTTTTAAAGTCGTGCATGTATATAAATATGTCCGTTTAAAATGAGTTTTTTTAGTTAACTATAATTAATATTAAAAGGTTAGTAAAATTAGTTGTTAACGAAATTTTGAGGTTATATTAAAATAATATTTAAATAAAGTTATTACAATTGATTTGATATAAAAATAGGAGAGATGGAGGTGAAGTGATGGTTAGTTAAATTTATGTGAGTGAATGAATAGTGAATTGTATATTAATAATATTAAAAATAATGAAGTTGAATTGAAGTTAAGTTAGAATTTTAATATGAATTGAGTACGAATTTGATAAATTTATAAACAAATATATTCTAAGGAATCATAATGACGTTTGTTTGACAAACAACCCAATACAAAATCTCGCACTGTTAAAATAATATTGATTTGGTTTGGTTAATTTTGAAAAAGGTGGTATGGTTAGTTGTTAGTGAGTATATTAAAATAATATTTATTATAAAATAATTAAAATTGATTTGATGTAAAAGTAGGAGAGAGAAATATGAAGTGATAGTTGGTTAAAATAATGTGAGTGGATGAATAGTGAATTAAGGTTGATGTAGTGTGTATGGATGATTGATTGATATTATTTAATTATATTAATAATTTTGATGATAGTAGAGTTGAGTTAAAAAAAAAGTGGTTGAGTTAAAATGTGGAAATTTTTTTAAAAAAATTCTATAAACAAACATGCTCTTAATATTTGAATATTTTCAACTTGTGATCATCAATAATAATAAGGGAACTAAAAGTCATATCAATAGCATAAATCAATGAAAAAAAAATGGCACGGTGAAAATGTATGCAAATTACCTCGGGAACGTGTGAAACCTGCAATCTCCAAGAACGTCCTTCTAGCTCGAGTTTTGATGACTTACAATATGTGGCAAAAAAAAAAAAACCGACTATTAATTTTCTTCACAATGAATTGGATTTTGGCTTATAAAGTTAATGGGTATTTGAAACACCATTCTCTTACAAATATTGAGCGAGCGTAGAGTCGCCCAACACGGCATGCGCGGACTCTTGGTGTTATGAGATGTCAGAGAATTTAAGTTAATGTTATTTTGAGGATATCAATATTAACAAGTTAAATTTAAATGTTTAATCAGTAGAATTTTTCATGATTCTCAGGTTATATTCAACATGTCTTCCTATCCGCTGTCAATAATTCTAAAAGAAAAATCTTACTAGTCCTGAATTCTATAACTGGAGAAGGAGCTTAGACATTGTCATGTCGATCACCATGGCTGAGGGAACTCCAGGGATCATATCCTTAAGGTAGTGGAACATCTCGATCAGTTGAGATTCCATGGAGTTGATATGGACGAAATGACCAAGGTTGATATCATACACTTTTTTCTACCACGGAACCTCAAACAGCTCTGTCAGTGTTATGAAATATTTATTCGATATTTTCCAGTGACGAAGTTAATTGGAGAATTGTTGTAAGTATTTTTACCAGAGTAATCGAAATTTCGTTCCCCGGGTCGTATCGCAAGGAAGGTTAACCGGATTTAATTGTAGGATTATTCAATCACAAGAGAGAGAAAACAAATTCCTAAACACTCTAATTCAAAAGTTTGGGGTTTTCAATTATCAACTAATGATTCTAAAGCTAAGTGAAATACGATTCAATAGCTAACAAATTCACTTAATAATCAAAGAGCTAGGGAATCGGGGATAATCGCTTTCGGTTCTAACACAATTACCGGGCAATCAATTGCTCGGTTAAAGGACTTGAATTGTTTACTCGTCCAGAGGTTCACTCTCAATAACTCTTCGTAACAAGAGAGTGAATGTAAACGATCAGCTATCAATTCCAGTAACAAATAGACTATACATTAACGAACAAGTCTATTCTGAACGAGCCTAAATCGACCGACGTCTCCCCTCTCGGTTCTAAACGTTGATTAACTAGGTTAGAATGGTGATCAATCAACTAACCCTATAATTCATACAACTCGCATAGATTTGAATAATTAAAGGCATGCAATCATAAACGATCCGAAACAATCATCCCTTATCCCTAGCGAATGGATTTAGCTACTCATTACGAATTCGACATCACAATTCGCATCAACCCAAGCCATCTTCATCATAAACAATTTGAGAAAAAGAACTTACGATTAATGTAAAAATCCTAATGTCAAATCCAAGTGCAATCCAAATCCAAAGCAAGAGAAGGAGTTTTTCAATCTCCAAATCAAATCCAAAGTGAAAAACTAAAGAGAAAAATATGTTTGCTAGAGAGAAAAACATAAAAAATAAGTCTGGAATAGAATAATATGCCCTAGGTCCAAAAACAGATTAAATATCCCGCATCTCGATTTTCGCATCTCCAGGTCGCGAGTCGTGCATCGTCATTCAAAATTCGGGGGTGTCGCGACATCTTCTCGCGAATCGCGACTCTATATCGCGAGTCGCGAAAAATTCTGGGCTCCGTTCTTTTTTCACTCCTTCAGTCTTCTTCATCGACTTCTAGGCTCGGCAACGAATATTTTCAATTTTCATGGTCTTAGCTCAAGCAGTCCCAACCTCGACCGGCACAACCTACCTCCTGCAAACACAAACATGGAAAAAACACGAAGCAAAAAACGGCAAAAAGACGCACAAATAGAAACTAAAGAGAAAACACAAAACCAATGAAATGGACTAAATATGCTACGAAAAATCTATAAATGGGGAAAAACAAAAAGAAAATAAACATGAAACAACGACACAAAAATGGGACAAACAGGAATTGCAGGTGGCGGAACGTATCCTCAAAGAAAAGCGTGAGTGCTTTGGGTCGAGCGAGTAAGTGCTTCATCCTCTAAATCCTTATGGATAAACAGGAAGAGAATCCCTACTCAACATGAAAAGGAGGCGTCTGTAGCTGCATGATCAGAACACGAGTGTGTTGACTGCCATCTCCCCAAAAAGGGAAAGGAGGGTAATTCATGTTCTTTTGTCGTAGAAACATTTTTAGCGGTTGTGTCTGTCAGTACCTAGTGTGTATACACTGGAGACACATACCACGTCTGCAATTCTTTGAAGGGGTTCCAGGAAACCAAACGGCTTAAAGAAGGGGAGATTACCATCTAAGTTGACGACTCTACAAAAGTGGCAACAGTTGCAGTGGGAGACGTTACATTATATTTTTCTACTAGTAGTTTGGTTTCGAGACATTCCTTATTTGTTCCTTCGTATAGAAAGAATCTTATTTCAGTTTCTAAATTCGTTATGGATGGTTTTTCATTAACAATATTGTTATTTGTTATGCGAAGCACTTCATTTGTGAGGGTTCATTAGTAGACAATTTATATGTTCTTAAACCAATCCCAAATTGCAGCAAAAGGAACTAAATAACACATTGGCTAAATCAATTAAGAGGAAGGAACCTTAAAAAATGAATCAAGCATATCTCTGATATCTTAGACTTGGACATATCAAGTTCCGTAGGATTCAAAAGTTGGTACCTAGTGGTCTTTAGATCCATTAGAAGAATCATACCCTACCAGCGAGTCTTGCCTAGAAGGTAAGATGACTAAGAGGTCGTTCACGACCAAGGGGCGTAGGCTCGAGAGTGTGCCAGATCTGATTCATTCTTACTTATGTGGTCCTTTGTCGATCCAGAATAGAAGAGGTTTCGAGTATTTTGTCACATTCATCAATGATTACTCGAGATATGAGCACATTCATCTAATGCACTACAAGTCTGAATGTTTCAAGAAATTCAAGGAGTATCGGACAGTTGCAATGAAGCAACATGGTAAAAGTATCAAGTCAGAGTCGAATACCTCTTGGAGGAATTTAGGACGTATTTGTCAGAGACTGAGATTGAATCCTAACTCACTGCACCCGACACGCCTTAGCAGAATGGGGTAGCAGAACGAAGGAATAAGACTCTTATGGAAATTGTTAGTGTTGGCATCCGAGTTGGGAAGTATAGGTTCAGAGCGTAATCCCCCAAATAAAACAGCTTAGCAAACGAGTCATCCTCAAAAACCGATTAGACAAATTGGTCCCACCGGACGTGATACGCGGCTCGGCCCCTT